CCCCCCCTCCCCCTGATCTCAACTGTATGACGCTCCAGCTGACGTCACTCATCATGTCTTTCAGGAGGAGGGAGGCTTGGACCTCTCCTGAAAAGGCCATCTTTGTGTGTTGAGTCAAGAGCAGTCGTTTCTGTTTTTAAATTAAAAAGATGAATATTTGGAATAATTTTCTTTAGTCAGAACCCAACGTTTCATGTTACTGTTGTACGTTGTACTGTATTGTAAAGCGCCCAGAGCCTGTGTACTTTATTCGGGGTTGAGCGCTATATAAATGTCATTTATTATTTATTATTATTATTATTAAGAAAAATGATGGGCCTTAGTGGGAAGAAGATTTTCATCGAGTATCTCATCGGTCTTTCTCCTGGGATGGTATGGTCGCTTTTAAGCACAAGGGGGCCATCCCAAAAAATGCTGTTTTGACAAAATCGACGATTAAGTTTTGCCCCTTGTTCAGTTTTTTTAAAAGACAAGGAGAGAGTTCTCTCTATAACCAAACAAAGACACCCACCAAAGAAACCAAACTTCTCCTACAGGTAGGGCAGCAATGCTCACTCCTGGTGTAGGTCAAGATTTCTGGAAACCCCCGAAATCTGGGTTAGCTCGCTTGTCCCTAAATTAAAAGTAAAAGCGACCATATATCCCTCACAGCCTGGGTTGGCCCATACAGGCAGGGTCAGAAGCCAGCCTCCTAAATAATCTAAATAGTGTCCATGGGGTTGTTTTTTTAAGTCTGAGTAAGGTTTTACGGTGCTCGCAACTGCACAAGGTCATATGAGCACCAAGGAGTGGATGTCAACAGAGAAGTCCTTACACTTACAGGGAATCAGGCTTACTCTTCTCACCTGTCTAGCCTCAACAGCAGAAAGTCTGCTCCGACTATCAAGGCACCCCGGATATAGCAGTTCACAAGAGAGTAACAAACACATAAATGAAGTAGAGGAAAATGACGATAGCAAGGATGAGGAAAGAAAAAGCAATGCGATTGTCAAAACACATACATATGTTTAATATGAAAAACTAAAAAACCAAAACACCCCCCACCCCCCCACAAAAGTAGACCAAATGCAGTCTTTTAAAAAATAAAAATCACAAGTGAAAAATAAGAAATAGAAATTTTTTTTATTGTCTTCTGTTCTAATACAGTTCAACATACACATTCACTTTCATAAAAAAACAAAAAACTTGCATTTCATTTCAATCCAACGTTGGCAAGCCACTTCACTGTTCTAAGTCCAGAAAACAACATTTTTCAGGAGAAAGAAAAACTGTACCTACTTAATTTAATAGGCCTATTTATTTACTTAATTTTTTTTCATCATTTAGAATAAGAATTTCACATAAATATTTCTCAAGCACATCGCGACCTCAATGCTTTCTTGTCCTATCTCCATTTTTAATACAACAGTTCATAACAAAGTGTGAGCTTAAGAAAAACAAAACAAAAAAAACAAAAAAACAGTCACATTCTCAATTTTTGTTAAAAAGGAGATAGGACATGAAAGCAACTAGGTCGCGACATGAAAACGCAATTTAAAAAAAAAGAACAAAAAAATCCAAAAGCAGGGCTTAGAACATTTCAACAACAAGTCAATGGCGTGTGTGACTGACACGTGATGAACAAACGATGGAGTGTGTGACTGACACGTGATGAACAAACGATGGAGTGCATGGAATTGCAGGTGAGTGAGAGCGACATGGCACTTCAACGACACATACACACACACACACACATGCATGCACACGTACGCACACACACACACACACGCATGCACACGTACGCACACACACGCATGCACACGTACGCACACACGCACATACACACACATATACAGTGGTGACAAATGTTCATGAGCTGAGAAGGCTCTCACATCAAAACCAATCCTCAAAACAAATTACAATAAATGATCCCTGTCAAATTATTATACAGTTAGAGTTTAAAGGGCGGGAAGGGGGGGGAGGGGGGAGGGGGGGGAGGGGGGAGGGGGGGGGGAGGACACAAATGTCCAATTTATACTTTTGTTGTGTTTCACTGCTATGACTTACTTCACTGTAAGTCATAAGCCTTGGCTATTCATTATGTTAAAAAAAAATGTAACAACTGTTTTTAAGCCCCATCGACATAATTTAGATAATTTAGTTTAGGAAGTGGACTTCCAACCCCCACCTGTCAGGGCCAATCTGAGCTAAGGGGGATACATATAAACATCCTTGCAGAAAGGCCAAGATACTCTAAAAAAAAGTCCTCCCCACTTGGGAATGGAACTCGGATCTCCTGTGTGTGAAAGTGAGGTGCCTAACACTAACTGGTACACCTCATCTTGCCCCTTCCTTCTACAGCTCACTCGTCAGTACACAAGACACAAGCATCTTCCAATCCCTGAGGTACGTTATACTACAACATTTTACAACACTACAGTCAACCTGGCTTGTTTGTTTGTTTTAGTAGAAGGTTTTACGGCGCTCGCAACTACATTAGGTCATATGAGCGCCAAAGGGCGGACGTCAACAGAGAAGTCTAAATGGGGAATCAGTATCAGGCTTGCTCTGCTCACCTCTCTAGCCTCAACAGCACAAAGTCTGTTTCAACTATCAAGGCACCCCAGAAATAGCATGTCACAAGAGAGTGACAAACATACTGGCTTGTGATGGGACACAATGAGACATGGGCATCCAGGGAAATACCCAAGAAAAAACATTCATGATCGAGTCTCCAAAAACTTTGTTAGACTGATCAGTGAATTATAATAATCCTAAAGCCTAATGATGTATTATGTGATACCCCTGTACCCAGGAAATCTGCTTCTTTTTTAAAATATGCAGTAACCATGTTTTCAGAAAATAAATACATGCAAGGACTTTTGAAAGAAAGAGTAAATCTGTTTGCTATGTATGTGCTTCGTTATGTGTGTGTTCGCTTAGAGTGCACTAGCCTGTAGATGTATAGACATAAGCAGGCAAGATGAAGCAGAACTATATAATTTCAATCATATACTAAAATGACACTTGTTACTTTTTTCACACTCGATATTCAGTACAAACAATATTTTTGTGTAACGAGAACTTGAGAATTTCACCAACTATAAATGTACATGAAAGTCTCCCGACAAACAGCAGCTCACTAGTCTTCTATACTCTCAACATAAAATACGATAACCTGAACTCTGAGGAAAGTGCAAGGGCAATCCATTCAAATTAATAAAATTTCTAGATGAGAGACACGAAGTGAAGCACATTGACTCGAAAACAATGATAAAGAATTTAAAAAAAAACCAGGACCCTTGGCACAGTTCGACGGGTGCATGATTTTGAGTCTTCTGTGTTCGACCTATCCCTGTTATACTGCATATTAATGTAGCTGCTGTTGCTATCAATCAAACACAAAAATAAATGACTCATTCAGAAATCTGATCCGTGCAGTCTGAAGAAAAGACAACGACATCAAAAGCAAAAATGTGTGACAACATGGTGTTTTCAGGCTCTCATCAATTTTTTTGAGTGTTTGGAGTAGCTGGTTCCATCGTGAATCTTGTTAATTTGTCTTTAATTTTGATTTTAAAAAAGCATTCATCAATCTGTTATTATAGAAGACTTATTTGCTACTGAAGGAGGTGGGAGTTGCCTGGTGTCAGACATGATATATAAAAATATGCGACAAAATGGCTATCAAGTTTGGTGATTTCCAAATTTGGAAACTGCAAATTTACATTTTATTTCATGCGCCTTTGATCAACGTTTTCCAGTAAACCCACACACAAATGGCATTGACAGACACACATAAAAAAAGCAAAAATTGATAAAATTTGCCAAACAGTCTGAAAAACATTGGTTTCTTTTATTTCATAATTTTGACTAAAGCCTGATCTCACCACGATGACACATAAATAATGGATGTCCTTTCACATGCTGTGACAAATAGGCATGATTGCAATATTGGTGTTAATCATGAGGAAAAAAAATTGTCATTATAGACTGCAATCCAGGCACTTTATTCAAGAATTTCATTATGCAGTCCGCAGTCTTCATCTCTTGCATACAAGTCACTCATTCTTCTTACTATGCATAAAGGCAACACTACAAAAATAACACTCCTCCTCTCTCTCTCAGTCTCTATCGTTCCCTCTCTTCAACAAACACTTCCATAAAAACAACACTCCCTCTCTCAGTGTCTGTCTCTATCTTTCCCTCTTCTCTTCCACAGACACAAAAATGCACATACACACAGTAGTGGCACACACAACCTACTTTATGAGTACACAACACACACACATTCACACACAACTATATATATACAATGTGTCCAAGTATTATAAATAAATAAATAAATATATTACTGAAGTCCACAATTGGGTGCACATACAAGGGTACTCTGTTCAATTTGAAAAAGAAGAAAAAACAACAACAAGAAACATATAACAGAAAAGGAAACAGAAGCCATGACATTCACTTACCACAAGAACCAATATCGTCTAAACAGCACGGCACAGAGATTCTTATTCTGACCTACCAAAAATTAAACTTTTAAAAAGAAAAATTATAACTGTGATAACTTCTGAATCATGCTCAAGTATTTTCATGTTTAGTTTTAGTAAGAGTTTTATGGCACTTGCAACACAATAAGGTCATATAAGTGCCGAAGATTAGAGGTGTTACAAGTGAGTAACAAACACAAAAAAGGAGGAGGGGAGATAAAGACGACAGATGTTTGATAGGAAAGAAGGAGCAAACCACACCAGAGCACCCGCCAACCACCCACAAGTATTTTCAGAATGACTATCGGTATGTGAAAATTAAAGAATAAAACAAATGCACCTGTGAAAATTAAAGAATAAATGCACCACAGACAAAATATACAAACATGTCATTTACAGTCTGAAATTGCATTTTCAGCAATCCCTCTAAACATCTTCTCAAAATTTAACTGAAAAAAAACAACTGCATTTGTTTGTATCTGCAAAGATAATTTCAAAGAGGAGAAGTAGGCTATGTCTTTCCCAAATTCCACTTCAAATTGATGGAGCCTACAATGGTCATTTTCAGGATAGTCTCAATTCAAACTGACCATAATCTTGAACATTTCAAATACTAATTCTGGCGAAGTGACACACATTATACAAATCATTGGACCACAGCTCTGGAATATATTCAGGGTTCCTGCCATGAACTTCCCATCAAATTCAAGGAGGTTTCAAGTAGAATTTTTTAATTCAAGGAGATTTGGTCAAGAAATTCATAACGAAAGCCCATTTTTGATAGGCCTACACTTGTCCGAAAAGAATCATAATATCATAGTTTCGATTTTCCTACAAAATCTGTACCTCCAGTTTGATCTGGCAAAATTCAAGGAGTTTTTTCAAGGAGATTTTTCCTTGAAGGCAAATTCAAAGAGTTTTCAAGGAGATTTTTTTCTTGAAAGCAAATTCAAGCAGTTTTCAAGGACTCCTTGAACTCAAGGAGGCCGCAGGAACCCTGTATATTATGTGCCACAACGTGGTGAAATCACTGGTAATCAGGCGCTCATCAATTTTCGGGCATATGAAGTTGTTAGTATCATCTTAAAGCATATATATTTGTCTTGCTTTTGATGAAAAAAACCCAGCTGTCTAGAAAAGAAGTCAAGATATTTGTAATTGAAGGAGCTACAACATGGCTGCCAAAGATTGATCACTTCCAAAGCTTGAGTTTACTTGGAAACTGAAAATTTACATTTTTTTAGTGCATTTGATCAATATTTTATTTCTCCATTTAAAAAAAATCCAAACAGAAAGTGTTTTGTAAGTGGACACAAAAGATGCTGAGCCGAAAAAAAAAAAAAAAAGGGGGTGAAAATAGCCCAATGGATGGAAAAGTTTCAGTTTCTTTCATTTCATTTCTTTGATGAGCGCCTGATTTCATCACTATGCAACACATGTACTGTCAAGTCTCGGTACAATGTACTTCCTTCAGATCTCAGATTTTGAAGGCCATAGCTGAGGTACCCAATAGCCAAGAAAAGTAAAAATGCTAAATGGGGCTTGCGGCTTCAGAAAGTGAAGGTTCCAGCTGATAATATGTTTTAGTTGTGTACGTTCTAACAAGGTTTTACTGTATACATAAAGTGTGTTTGCCAGCGTGACCGTTCCTAAAAACTTAATTCCTGTTCCAAAAAGCCTCTTGTTTTTCCCACAGTTTCCTCAAAGGCATATTAATCGAAGAAATAAATAGTTCATTGACAATTATAGTTTTAGTAAGAGTTTTTATGACAATTGCAACACAATTAGGTCATATAGGTGCCACAGATTAAAAGTGCTGCTGGAAAATAACATCCAAAGAAAAGACAGAGGTGAAATAAGGAGGCTTTTATAGATATTCAATAGGGAGGAAAGAGCAAACCCCACTAGGGCACACTCCAATCTCCCACAACCACTGACACTAGGCATGGGGCTCCATGTTCTTTCTATTGAGAAAAGAATCTCAGAGCTGGCATCAGCTGTCACGATATACTTCCGCTTCCACACAACATGAAAGAATGTGAACACAAGGAGGTCAGAAAGAGCTTCAGAAGCTGAACAAATGGGCAAGAGTACCTTCGAAAACAATCCATGGCTGCAAGAGATAAACAACACTATGTTCTATGTAGATGTTGTTGTTGTTATCGTTGTTATTGATCCAGCAACAGCTGGGCTCTCGCCCTTCTGTCCAATGCCATGTAGTGACAAGTGCAGGTTTGCTGCAGTTGCTGTAATGTTCCATAGAGTGTGTTCTATGTAGATAAAATGGCCTTAAATGCAAAAATCAACTACTACTGCGTGAAATGAAGATCTTCCAGACAGTTGCCACCTGAGCTCTGGCAGAAGAAAGAGGCACAGAAGAGACAAATGGGTGGCCACTGCTGGTGAAGAATATGAACAGAAAATGGTTAAAGTAAGAAAGTGCTCTTTTTTTAACTTCCACAGATATCAGTACACAAAAAAAAAACTTCCTCAAAGATGTGTGTCTGCGTAGAAAGAAAAAACAAAAAGTTCCATAACAATAATTTGTCACGGAAATGAAACACCTGAAAGCTAACTGAATATTCCGTTGAACAACTTAACATTATTCTCAGATTTCCAACAGGGCCAAACTCAACTGAAACAACACATACAGTGTATCAAGAGATGCCACAAGCAAAGGGTCAAGTTCAAGATATAAGCTTTCACTTCCAACAATTGGAAGAGAAAAGAAAAAAAGTACGTTAACAGTTACGTTCCTGTTGGCAGCTCGTAACATGCAAGGGATTCTTGTAAGGGAACTACTAGGAAGCAAGGTGTTAATGTGTGCGTTGAGCTGCACCAAGAACTAAATCTTTTCTAAGAGTTCCAGATTACTGACACTGAGATCATCATCATCAAATGCCATATCTGCGACAGCCATCAGTGACCATGGTTTTCCATTCATTCCTTTATTCAGATGCTCTAAAAAAAATGCTACATTATCCTGATTTTTCACCTTAAATCATCTGCTTAGCTTCTCTAAGTAGGTTGCTCTGAGTCTACCACTGCCTTGTTTGCCTTCAATTTTGCAAGTGAGAAACTGAAAGAGTTTTAAAAACCATTATAACTTTAAATTTAGTACCAGAAATTCAGATGGCACATATTGTTAGGATTAAAGCTGTCAAAACAAATTTCTATCACTTTATATTTTTCTGGGTTTACCTAAAATCTAAAATCCAGCATTACCTACAGGATAAAAATGGACTCGAAACAGAGACCATCAATAACATATTTATAGGTGAGGCAGCGTGGTGAAATTAGGGGCTCGTCAAAATACAGAAATCAGAGAAACAGGCATTTTTCTGCCAAATTGGAAATTTTTATCAATTTCTATTTTTGGCTCAACCTCTTTTATGTGAATATAAAAACAAATTTCCATGTGATTTTTACTGAAAAACATTGATTTAAGGCACAAGATATGTCATTTTTCGGTTTTCAAGGACTCTTTAGTTATTGGAGTTACCAAACTTCGGCAGCCATTTTCACACTAATTTCACCACTGAAACCAGGCGACCTCATTTCTTTCAGTTGCAGATATCTTAAGTTCTATTCAAGATAGACACATACATATAATCTATTTTTATTGAAAGCAAGGCAAATAAATCAGCTTTCAGATAGTACTGACAACTCCACATGCCCAAAAATTGACGAGCACCTGATTTCACTGCGTCGTAAGACATATTATATTCAAAACTAACTTTGATCACTGGGACAAAAATATTAAATAACCCGACAAAAAAACCCCAAAACAACCCCAACTTGGACTGGAATCTTTCTCCTGTGTTGCAAAACTCCACAAAGATGCGTCTACAAGATCACCTGTAAAGAAAGATTATACCCATGAATTAGTTTAGTTTTAGTAAGAGTTTTACGGCACTTGCAACACACATAAGGTCACATAAGTGCTAAAGATTAGAGGTGTTACAAGAGAGTAACAAACACAAAACAGGAGGAGAGATCAGGACGATAGATGTTTGATAGGAAAGAAGGAGCAAACAACACCAGAGCACCCACCAACCACCCACACTCAAGAATTAGGATTTGTGGAAACAGGCAAAATTTGCAAACTTACAACTACACCAAGCTCAACAAGTAGGATGTCTTAATAATAATAATAATAATAATAATAATAATAAATAGCATTTGTATAGCACACATCCCTGCTCAACAGCAGGCTCTATGCGCTTTACAATATGTTATTACCCCAGCAGACCATAGAACACTCCGAAACATACTCAGCTTCCCGGAAAGCATACAGTGCAAGTAGCTGATTAAGCACTCAAACCTTAACAAACTGACAAGACCTTTCGCTGTCTATAGCCGGGTACCCATTCCCACCTGGGTGAAATGAGGAAAACTCATGTACAGTGCCTTTCCCAAGGACACAACGTCGGGCCCCTGGTGGGATTCGAACCCGCGACCTTACGGTTGCGAGTCCGCGAGCCTAACCACTAGGCCACCTCAAATACTAGCGTCTATAAGATCCAAAAATCCACAATAATATTTCCATAATGCAATACTGCATTAATTGTGAGAGACACCCATTTCTCTCAATGGCTCTGGTCAAAATATCTCACTGTTAAAGAGGCCCCTTTGTGCAGTGTTATTAAGAGAAGAGATTTATGGCACTTGCAACACGATTAGGTTACATAAATGTCGAAGAATGGAGTTAGTTTTAGTAGAGTTTTTACGGCACTTGCAACACAATAAGGTCATGTAAGTGCTAAAGATTAAAGGTGTTACAAGAGAGTAACAAACACAAAAAAGTAGGAGGAGAGAGAAGGACGATAGACGTTTGATAGGAAAGAAGGAGCAAACCACACTAGAGCACCTCCTAACCACCCACGAAGAATAGAGAGTGCGGCTAAAGAGTAACAAACAAAGGAGGAGGAGAGTTCGCAGAAGGACGATAAATGGCTTATGAAGAAAGAGCAAACCCCATCACAGCATCAAGTGAGCCAACGTAAACAGAGATAAAGTAGGGAACATTTTTTACTAACATTCGTTCAGTATTACCCCGTGTAACCCGTCATTTCAAAAGTTTTTTCACCTAAGATTCCTTCTCCAGACTAGTCCTACTAAACAAATAAAAAATCGGTTGCTAACAAGTTCAATACATAGAGACCTATAAGTACAAACTCCCACAACACACTCTATCGCTTGTGAGGGACTCCGAAAAATAAGAAAAAAGAAAATTTAAGGTCATGTAGTGCAAAATTTAGCACAATTCAAGATTTGCGCGGCATCTCATACAAGTGACAGTAAATTACAAAAATAAAATCTCAACCTGATTTGCTCTTTAAAAAATAAGACTACTTTAAGAATGGAGGAATGTTTGGAGGCTGCATTCAAATAATATTGAAATTGTTCATTGTTTCAGGAAGCAACATCCCTGCATTCTGGACATATCCAAAATGTCGCCGAGGGTCTTCCCACTGATTGTGCCAGTGCACATCTGGTTGAACGTACTTCTGTTCTTTCCTGCAAGGATGCCAAATTTTCCGCTTCCTTTTCGTATTCCCAAAACCATCATCCTCTCCACGGCAGTACTGGCCTCTGACTCCCTATCTTCCTTTTCAATCAGGAGGCGAGACAGACATTTCAGGATCTCGACCTTGACTGGTTGAACCGTGCTGTCAACTGAGGTGGCCTCTCCAACCATTGAAAACTGTCATCAATGTATTCAAACTTTCTCTCCACAGAGGTTTCTCATCCTAGTGTGAGAACTATTTATCTACTTTGCTATATATGACAAACAGTTAAAAAGAATGTTCTTCTTCTTCTTCTTCTATTCCGTGGTTGGGGCAACCGTGGGGGCACCATTGCATCTGAAAACCAGGTCTTGCCATTTCTCTTTGTCCTCTGCTATCCTTAGATTGTCATCCACTGACTTCCCTGTCAACTCTGTGATGTTCTCCTATCTCCTTCTCTACCTTCCTCTCTTTCTCTTTCCTTGCATGGTTCCTTGTACGACTGTTTTGGCAAGTCCTATGGATCTTGTGATATGCCCATACCATTTTAATTTTCGTCTCCTCACTGTGGTCAGTAGATCTTCATGCTGCATCACTGCATTTGTGAATCTGTTCCGTACCTCACCATTTGAAACGTGGTCTTTGCATGAGATGTCCAGGAGTCTGCAGTAACATCTCATCTCTGTTGTCTGATAAACTGATCAACAAATATGATATAGATATGAGACGCTTACCTCTATTCCAAATTCAAGAATTCCCAGCAAAATTTTCCACCATATTGGAAGCTCATCATCCACTTGACGGTTGTCTTTAGACGTTGGTTTACTGGACGTCTTTGATGAGCTCTCCCTGCCAGACGATTGCTCCGAGCTGCTTTCGTCCAGCCCATCAAAGTAATACCTGGCAAATATATATAACGCCTCAGCTAAGTCCATTGAGATCATGATATAGATAGCATCACACCTAGATGTAATATCAGAAGATGAAATATTTTTAGTGGGGTTTTAAAGTAGAAATTTTTAATGACTCAATCTTATTTATGTCCCCTAATATTTATATCTTGTTCCTTTACATCATCACTTCATGAAAAAAAAACCCATCTGCCTTTATCATCAAAACATGTATAAAATATTGTAATAACTGCAAATTTTGTCAACTTTCTTGAAATCCATGGTTCAGCACAAAGCTAAAAATTTCGCATTTTCGCGATGTAGCATGTACGTCGTCAAATATGCCAACAAGGATTACAGACAAATATGTTGAACCTAGGGTTTTCCTTACTTTTCAAACATATCCACATACGACTGGTAGTCATCCACGACAGGCTCCTCCTCCTCAAATATGGTCAGCCGACATCTTGACTGTAAGTGATTGGGATGTCCGAAGAGCCCGATGTACACTGGCCTTGACATTGAGCTGGGTATGGAGATGACATCAAGGCCACACGTTTCTGACTTCAGATCGTAATGTGCGTACGTAGGGTGCTGGCTCTAGAGGTGAGAATGTCAGGAGGCAAAAAGAGTCAATATCTTATTCAATACTCTCTTCAAAAAGGGCAAACTCCGCAATAAAACAGCAGAACTCAAATCAAGTATAGGATACCATATAAATCTATAAAAATTGAATGAACCAATAATAAAAATCTAGAAAAATTGAATGAATCAATAATAAAAATCTATAAAAATTGAATGAACCAATAATAAAAATCTAGAAAAATTTAATGAAAAAATAAACATTTTCAGTATGATTTGGTGCTGCTACCTATGCCTTTTAAACTCTTGGTAAAACGAAATTAAACCCAACAAATGAGATTCAACTTTCAGTTTACGAAATCTTGGAAAGATCAAATGTATTTATTTTTTTAAACGATTGACAATCAATAACCAATGGGTTTCTCTTCATTGCATCGATGATCATTGCACTTAATAATTCTCTTTGCTGCGTTGCACCTAATCAAACAAATCTCTATCTAAATCAATTCATGATGGATGTATCGATGCAACACAGCTGGGGGAATAATGAAACTAAACTGTAAATTAAAAGCAGAAGACAAAAAGTATTACTTTTTATTGAAGACTTAATGAGGATACAGTCAAATATTTTGTTTACATACCTCGGAAGGACTTCCGTAACGAGCGAGCACCCCAACAAACACAATAAAGCAGGGACCTAACCCTATCCCTGTCCCAAACCTTATATTCTACTCTGTATCAGGAAGTGGTTGCTCATTACGGAATTTCTCCACTTACCTCGGTACTGATGTACATGTCAACATCCCCAACAATACTGAGGAGCTCGAGCCGCAAAGTCCCAGGTCGATGCAAGCGATAATATGTAAAGTTTTCTGCCGCAATGTTGTCCTCCAGACTTTGGATCTGCATTTTGCTCGCGACGGCTTTGTACCACGACGCGCAGATCAAGAGCTGTAACACGCCACGGATGATCTTGTTTATGGAGGTCATCGTGCTGACCAACAAATTCTAAAAATGAATTCCTGGAAACAAAAAAAAACAAAAAAAGCATTAAAAAATGTCAAATGGATTGATAATTTTAATGATTATAATAACAGCAGTCATGATTCAGAGTTATAAATTAGAAAAATTGAATTCACACATCGTTAACTATGATGACATTATCATGTTGAAGTAAATACAGTAACTTATTATACAGTACAACACAATTCTACCAACCAGATCAGAGCATTTATTCATCGGAGTGTCTATGTACACAGTAACCGGGCACCTAGCCTCAGTGTCTACGTACACGGTAACTGGCAACCGGGCACGTAGTCTCAGTGTCATGTACATATGGTAACCGGGCATGTAGTCTCAATATCTACGTACACGGTAACCGGCAACCAGGCACGTAGTCTCAGTGTCACCAGAGACTATATATAATTAAATACTCTCTGTTGTCACGTACACGGTAACCGGGCAGTTCAGAACTCCGTTCATTTTCTGTCATCCTGTGCTGCTTTCATTCCCACCCCTCCCCCGACTGTACTTTAAAAAAAATTAAATAACCCCCCCCCCCCCCCCCCCCCCCCCATTCCAGAGCCCTATACTTCGCAGCGCACAGACTTTGAATGGACTTTGGTGACCCCAACCGGTACTCACAAGGTAATGTGATGCTATGCACACGCACAGGTTCACTGACCTGTCACGACGGCGAGCCCGACTTTCTTTTTTTTTTTCAGCAAGTGACAGCACAGGACAAATATTGATTTATTTTCATTCCGTTTACCATGTACGTAATACTGAGACTAGGACTAGGTGCCCGGTTACCGTGTACGTAGACACTCCGTTATTCATATTCCAGTTGCAGGGAGCAATGGACGTAGTTAATATGTCCTTATACGGGGTGCCCATTACGGCTGGATCGGGCCGGTTGCTCGACTCGGTCGCCTGAAACTGAAAACAAACACGTTTGGTTTTGAGGCGACCGAGTCGGGCGATCAGCCTGATCTGCTGACCCCATCTGTGTAGTGGGAGCCCCGTATAAAGTCTTTTAAAGCCTCTACATCAGACTCATCAGGTCGGGCCCTTGGGGGCAATAGAACTTTAGACTTTAGAACTAGCCTAGGCTCTAGATCTAGATCTAGATTTTTCTAGATCTAGAATCTTGATCGGGTGATCTTGTACTGTTACAATGTCAGTCAACAGTCGCAGTTCAGTAGGCTCAGTAGGTTCGATTGATGTGCTCTACACTGCGCTGATGCCAGACGAATTCAGCATGGACAAAGCTGAAAGGAGAATGATAGAATGCTCTGAAGACGCCATAATAAAAAACACCAATTTCTAAAGAAAGTGTATGCTATAACTGTAGACATTATTGTGACAGAAACTTACTCAGACTCCGGCAGTGAAAACGAAAACAAGAGATGATGAAGCCGAGGAAAGAAATAGCTAGGGGACGTTACTCTTACTCCTGGGTTTGCTTGTTTTTGTTGGGGGTTTTTATTCGGTGTATTAGAAATTCGAATCTTTCTAAAGAGGCCTTTGTTAGAGAGTATTTGGTACCATTATAATGATAAATTAGGTTTTGAGCTTTAAAGCTCTAAATGAAATAGCATGTCATTTTAAAGCCATTTCAGCGTATAAGGCGTAATTTCAAGGTTTCCCTTTCCCACCTTTTTTTAGTGCATGTATAGGCCTACCTAGCACATGATAAATAGGCCTATAAATATGATAGGCCTATCTGTGTAGTACTGAAATTTTTGTTATGAAGAAACAGTAAAGGAATTTAGAAATACATGAAGTTGTTAACTTACTGCTTTATTTTGTATACATGAAGTCATAATATTTAATAAATTTAAAGACATATTTTTGTCTTGCTTCCAAAAAAAAATCTGGAAGTAAGATACCATACCTAGATATCTGTAGGTGTCATTTCTGGCTAAGTAGGCCTACATGTATTTCTCTCACAATGGCCTGCCGGTGTTTTTGACTTTAAAAATTGCATCTTTCTACTTTCCTTGAATTAGTTTTATAACAAAAACAGACAGAAAAGTTCTAACGTCTGCCTCAAATTATGTGTACAGCATTCCATTATTTATGCAGATTCTTTTTTCAAAAATTTATTTTTTGGTAAGAGTTTTGCGGCACTTGTAACACGATAAGGTCATATAAGTTTCCCTTCCATAATTTGGAAACATTGAGGTCAAATTCAACCAGAGACGGAGGCCTTATAAATTTAAATAGCTGATCATAAATCATATAAATACCCCATTCACCTTGTCTCTTCAGACCACTCTCATACTAAGCAGTCACAACCACTGATTGTGTAAGCTAACAATTAGACTGGTAAAGTCGTCTTCCTCAAAAGGATGAGGTGGGCTGCCGCCTAATTATCTCATGATTGTTGTTTAGGGCTTGCTTTTTTCCTTGACTATTACTGCCCTATAATTAGGTCATGGCATTATTATGGTATTGACTCCTAGCTATGAAAGGCTGGGTAAAGACAGCCAGATTTTTTTTTTAACATTTTTTTTCTGGTTAGTTTTTTACGGTGCTCGCAACTGCATACAGTCATAAGAGCGTGCGGCCAGCCAAATTTGAAACCAAGTTGATAACTCAAATCTGTAGAAAATTTGTCTCTGCTTCTTTGCCTGTTTGGGTATTCATTTCACAGCTTCATTTTTACTATTAAACAAATCTTGAGACCAATATTTTCTCCCCACGTTTTAAAGTTGCAATTTCGTTTTGTTGAAGTGAGAATGAATATTTAACGAGATATTTTTTCAATTGTTTTGGCCCGTGAACACGCAATGTGAATTCACTCAATTCAGGATTTGTTTCCATTCACAGTTCAGTGATGCTGCCTCGAGTAAGAAGTTTCGTTTATGATTACATATACGTTCCTAATGTGTCAAAACTTTGCGAGGGTGACCTCATCTCCATCTGGTTCTTTGCCTCACTTTGATTACCCTGTCAAACAAGTCAGCCTTCATCCCTGATAAGTGATACAGTTAATGTTAAGATTTTTTGGTTCTGTTCACTGTAATGCGAGCCAGTCCTTGCACGCAAATAAAGCTGACACATGAGAACATATGTGTGTGTGTGTGTGTGTGTGTGTGTGTGTGTGTGTGTGTGTGTGTGTGTGTGTGTGTGTGTGTGTGTGTGTGTGAGTGCACATACAAGAAAGAGATAGAAAAAGAGAGAGAGAGAGAGAGAGAGAGAGAGAGAGAGAGAGAGAGAGAGAGAGAGAGAGAGAGAGAGAGAGCGAGAGCGAGACAGACAGACAGACAGACAGACAGACAGACAGACAGACAGACATATAGACAAACAGACAGACAGACAGACAGACAGACAATCAAGCAGATAGAGCATAAGCCGGAGGATAATTTAATCTCCATGCTAAAGGGATAGGATGACTTCAATTTGAAGCTGGACCTTTTTTTAGCCAAGATAATTTTCCCATTCTTTCTCGATCGTTTGTGGTTTCTTGGGAGATTGGAAACACAGGGCTCTTTTCTATGAACTCTTCTGACTAGTGACTTTTCCAAAGTACATCATGTATGTGTACAGTCGAAATTGTCTAAGACAGTCACTCATTGTTGAGGAGGGAAAAGTAGTTGTCTTAGACAGATAGATGCACGTCAAACTAACACAGCATCATTTTAATGTACAAAAATGAAAGGGGAGGGGGGGGAGGAGCTGGAAGTAGCCTTCTGTACAGGAGGTGATTGTCTTATTCTTATACATGATAATATATATGCACTGATGGCTGTTAGAGTAGGTTCGACTGGAAGGAGAAACTTCGAGCGAAATGAGCTGATGTTCAGGCCCTGATGTTTTCTAAATAAAGATTCATGTTGGAATCCCTGACATAGGAAAAGTTGAAACATGTGCGGAGCAATATGGTTATGAAATAAAAATCAGAAACACATCTTTCATACTTGCTGACTGATTTATTTACATTCCTGGGTACATACATGGTAATGTGATACAAAACAGAGAATATGTTACAATTCAAATGAATTCCCATACCAACTACACTTCATCCTGACTTATGTGTAAGTTTCTGTTTTTTTTACCATCTCCCTAATGCATTCACATTATGAAAACCACAATCATGGTTATGACAGACTTGTGAAAAAATTAAGGAAAACTAGACGTAGACAGACGAACAGGAAGAAAAGAAATAAAGAAGACAGTAGACTGATAGAAGTTCTAGCAACTCCCTATGTAGCCTATAGTTCTTCTACTGCACATTTACAGCAGTCTTTCTTGAGTAGAACATCAGATTCAGAAATATGACTGCACAAAGAGAGGCAGTTCTCAGCAAGCTAATGACTTGTGTAAATTTGTAAAATGAATAATGGAGGAGATAGCTCAAATAAGTGTTTTATCAGTATACATGATACAAAAAAGTAAGCGATCCCAGTCAAATAATCAAGATTTTTAGGAACACACATACCAGACAGTTCATAAACTCAAACTTTGTTCTTTCACTTTCACATAGTCTCTCTTCTTTTTCTCATAATATTAAGATTCAAGGGGGGGAAAAAGAAATTAATCAACCATCTCTGGGTCAAGAGGAACCCAGGCCGTTTGATAGTCTGCTTGCTTCCTCGTTGAACTTGGCCACAAATCCAGGATCTAAGACTTGGAGTTTGAGCACAAACGTGTTCCGCTCAGCGTCAGTCCACTCGGAAAACCAGTCCCCGAACAACTTCAGCTGGCACTTGTAAATACTGGGAGGCTTGTCACTTACACCTAGAGAGTTCATTGAATCAAACAGAGAGTCCACATTGTTTGGGATGAGTCTGAGGACAAAAACAAGGTACAAGAATGTAGTAGTTTTAGCTTTAGCAGAGGTTTAACAGCGCTCACAACTCCATAAGGTCGTATGAGCGCCAAAATGTAGTATAAAAAACTAAAGTAACTTTAAGTCAGAAAGAACAATTTTGTCAGAACAACTCAGTCATTCAATGCACAAATAGATCTGATACTGATAGCTTTAAGAATTGAAAAGAAAATTTGAGGTAAAGAATGTTTTAAGTCAGTTAAGATTTCCTGGGAACTTTCCCCACATAGAATCAAAAGGAAAAAGACCTAAATAAGTTAATGAAAAGCCACCCATTGTCATTATATGGCAACATCCAACGATTTCCTTCCATAGCACAGGGATAGTAATCCAATTGCCCAAAATACAAGAATCGAAGATTTGAAAATCCACGTGGCGAGTTTGGGCACTGGGTGAAAACAGCAATCTTATATGATGCAATGGCACAGAAACATTTTTTAAAAATTGTTTAATCACAACATCCTCCGTCTCTCTCTTTCTCATAAATTCTTTCTCCACATTCCAGTTTTAATTTACAAGTAAAGTAAACACATCAAATGTTCTACTGATAAATACATGAATTTGTACTTTATATATAGATACCTCTAGGGAAGTTTGGGTTTCAATGGCAAACATTCAAAAACATAAATCATAGATTACATGATGTAAACACAACGAAGAATATCCAACACATAATATTGCACAAATGCAGGCAATTTTACAAACATACAACTTTTGGTGGCCACAGTGTAGTGCCCTGTTTTTTGTTGTTGCTAGGTTATGACGTCTTGTTCAATGGCATACCCCAGTGACTAATCATCTAAAACTTGTGTTACCTACACTTGCTTGACATTATTTGTGAATTTGCACTCACTGACCATTTGGTCACTGAAGCCCACATAAATGAGCATGAAGTTGACTATATTTTTCTACTCCAATTTATAGAAAATTTGTTTTCACAAATGAATTAAATCAATCAATTCAAGAAAGAAGTTGTACACTAATAATCTCAATGCCTTTGGTATGACCCATTTAGTTTGATCCTTCTCACTCTTCTTCCTCTAATAATTTTATCACAGTTTCACCCAACTAAAATGTAATCTGAACACTACTTTTGTTTATATATATATGTTACATATATTGTGTAGTTGCATGATTCAAATTCATTCAAAATAAAAACATATTTTTTAAAGCAATCTTACACTAAAATTCAATATCCTTTTTTTTCTGCACTCTAACATGCGTGTATGTGAACAAAAATTTAATTATGCAGCTTAAAAAAGTATAGTAATATATTGATTATAAGTAATGTATAGTACCAATGAAAACTCACTTATCCAAGAGATCTTTCATAAAATCCTGTTTCTGTAACGGACTCCAGCCTGTGAACCAGTGAGCCACGCACTCCATCTCCCTCTCCACACAGTCCAACGACATGACTTCAGTCCTGGATCACTCGGTCCTCATTTGGAATCTGAAATCTACAAAATGTAAGATAAAATGTACATCACCGATAACAGAATTGAGCTACAAGAATAATACACACTAAAACTTTGAACTGCCATCCACCAAATTTCATACTTACTTTATGCGGCTAAGCACACCACATTTAACCGGGGGGGGGGGGGGGGGGGGGGCTCTGTTTCAGTTATTTGAATTACTAAATCAACTGATCAATCTGATGGCGGTTTTAAATTTTTACTTTCCCTTCTGCACACAGATAGACAAACTGTTTTATGCAGGTCTACAGCTATATTTTTTGGCTGCAGATCACACATAAGGCCAAGAAGAAAACTTTTTCAAACCTAATTGCAAAACATCAAATTATGGGGAAAAACAAACAGGGGCATGCCCCCTTGACCCCCCTCCCCCTGATTTTTTTTTACCCCAGGGGGGCAAGCCCCCTTGAAACCCCCTGAATTGGTCTAAAATCTGATAAAAATTAAATGCAACGAGGCTTAGTATTATATACCGGTAGTTCAAATAAAAATTTCCAATATCTAAAATACTAATAATACGCAGGCCTTGCGGAGATAGAGTCAACATTCTTGTACAACAGGGATACAAATGATCAAGAAAAGTGCGGCACAGTACCTTCAATGAGCAGGAGTCAGGAGTGAAATATAATACCCTAACAGCCCGCCCTAGCTGGTACTGGACTGGTAAAAACTAAGCACTAGAATTACTAGAATTAGAACTACTGTATGTCTGCTTAAAAAACTTAAACTAAAAACAGTAAGTGTTGAATCCAAAAACAGACTGAAAACTGAAAAGAAATCCCTGATTGTTTTTTTCCCCTATTATAATTTGAGTTGAGCAACCTCTCCAAACCAAAAACCTCGATAAACTGGAGAAAAAAAAGCCGCTAGTCCTACAGATTTCAATTTAAGCGGTCTCCACAGCATTTCTGTCCAGCAGAAGTGGCTTCTCAGACTCCTTTCTTGTATAGAGAGTGCTCATTATAAGGGGAATACAAACTGATCGCCCAACTCGTCGCCCTAAATTACTTAAAACAACTGGTCAGGCGATTGGTGTGTGCCCCAATAGCCGCTTTGCACCCTCAATCCAAATTGAACCGATCATGCCAATGGGGGCACCGGATTTAGAATAGATATCTAGACTTAGTCTGCTAGACTTCACCGTCAGTGGTCCTGAGATCTCAAGACCCACCAACTGTCCAATTATAAATTGGATTATTGTCACTTAGTTAGTCATTGTGGCTATCACTATCCTACTATTATACTACATCATGTGGTAGAGTGGGGAGGGGGGTTGTGTTAATTTTTTACTCCTTATTAGGGAGGAATTCCGCAGAGGGCCTGCACTTACTTTGACCGTGGACAAGATCCACTGAGCAAACTACACTTGTTGGGTTAGGTCAGTTAGGGTTTGTATACCACGCCACGCTCAAAATATCCCCTTTTTGAGTGTTGTTGGTTGGCCAGCTCTCCACGGAACTCCTTCCCCTTATTTAATAGAAAAATAATGTAAAAATATGCGTTTTATACTGTACAGAGTTCCAACAGTCAGTCCTTGAGAAGTAAGAAGTGCAGGCAGCTGATGGAGTAAGTAAGTAGAGTAAGATTATTTCGAGTTTCGAGTTTCGCTTTATCTTATAAAGTATAAAGTGCATGTTTTGCATTTATTAAAGAGCATTCATTTTTGTATTTTTAAAAATTATATAATTAGACGTTATAACTTGATTTTATCTTTTTATATAATTTTATTAGTATCTTTTTACGCTTATAAATAAGATTTCTCTAAAATTATGGTTTGTAGTGCTACTATTAATTTGGAATCAGTAATGGCTATTAATTTTAAAAGAAGGCTCCTTTTAGATTTTCAGAGTTATCCCCCTTCCCGAATGTTTTGCAAGGTGTTGTAAATTGTAAACACCTTTGCCCTTTGCCTTCACTCATTCAATCAATTCGCAATTTGACGTCTTGTATAAATATTGTCAAAGTTGAATAACATTTTATAAACGACATGTCGGCACCCACCAGATCTTTACTGTATGCTATTGGTCTCACAGCTGTTGGAGGAGCACTTTTCTATGTGATAACTCCTTCATCTGAAAAATTTCAATACAAACTAAACGAGGTAAAAGAGCCCACTGAATAATAATATTTTTATTTATGCTACTAAAAATCTAGACTCTAGATCTAGATCTATCAATTTGATTAATTATACTCTAGATTGTCTAGATCTAGATATCTAAATTTAGATCTACAGAGTGTCTACGTACACAGTAACCGGGCACCTAGCGACCTAGCCTCAGGCCTCAGTGTCACATAAACGGTAACCGGGCAGTTCAGAACTCCAAGTTCTGTTTTTGTCATGCGGTGTTGTGTTCATCCCCACCCCTCCCCCGACTGTACCTTTTAAAAAAATCAATAATCCCCCCTCTCCGGAGCCCTATACTTCGCAGAGCACAGACTTTGAATGAACTTTGGAGACCCCAACCAGAACTCACAATGTGATGTGCACGCACAGGTTCACTGACTGGTCAAGATGGCGAGCCTAACAAGACGCTTGTATGACTTTCTTTTTTTTTCAGCAAGTGACAGCACAGGACAAATATTGATTTATTTTCATTTGGGTTTACCATGTACGTAGATACTGAGATCCGGTTACCGTGTACGTAGATATTGAGACAAGGTTACCGTTCACTGTGTACGTAGACTCTCCGTTAGATCTATTATGATTGTATAATAATCATTTTTAAAAAACCCAAAGAAAATAACTTGTAGAGAAGCTCAAATTTTTATGATATTCCCACACAGATAGAAAAAGGTGCAAACCAGGGAGTTTGATGAAGTCTTTGATCAAGACCTGAAAATATCACCCACAGGTTGAATGAGAATATGGTGTTGCTGTGCCATTTTTATCAGTCTGGTGACATTGTCCATTTCAACACATTATTAAAATTTTAATTATTGATAAAACGGTTGTAATCGGTCAAAGTGAAATTGGCACTTCGGTAGCTGCGCGGGAGAATTAGATAATGACTACGGGTAAAAAGTAGGTGTTTTCATCCACCAGTCTTTAATTTTCCTTTTGCAGGTCATGTCGATAAATTGCATTTTTCTTTCATAAACGTGTGGAAACGTGACTCATCATCCTGCTGCACTATTGTGTTGTCCTAGTGCTTTGAATGCTGATTCCAATGGTACTACATTCTTCCACAAAAACCACTTGTGTCTTTGTGAGTTTCGGTCCAGAAGGCGTGGACAGGGGTAAGTCGAGCTTTCAATAATGGAAATAGTTCTAAAATTTTTAAAGAATTATCTGAGTACTTGGATTTAGCTAACTATTTTTCCTTCAGAATATATTATATTAGCTTGATAATGATAGGTCTGGTGGATGGGACGACACAGCCTGGTTAGGACACTAAACGGCAGCTTTTGGCTGGGAAAAAGAAAGCTTCCTTAATAGCTTGAATATTCTTTTTTAATACTTCATTTTCTTTTCAGATAAAATGCTAATTTATTCCTTGTTGAAACAGTCAACCAATTATTTAGAATTTATTTGAGATATATTTTTGGCTAGTTGTTGTAGAAGCTGATTTTTTCATACCAAGCTACAACAGTACAGTACTCTACTGTACATTTTAAGTTTAATTGTTGTATCTCTTCCCTTAGAATTTGTTGTGTTTTTCTTTTTATATCTGATCTCTCTTCTAATTCAAAAAAAGATTACAAATTTGTTGTTTTTCTTCTTCATTTTTACAGCTGAACCACTACAGTGTATCTAGTGGACAGCCTGGAGTTGGTTGAGAGTTTTCAGTCCTGTGTGCGCACCGTGATGTCCTCCTCAATGGCTCCATATAGTCTACTGACTTGTAGTTGGTCAATGGGATGAAGACCATGCCAATGGCAACATGCATTCATATCATTCTAGCCGGCAGAACTGTACCTCTATGCTGAACTCTGCAATCCGGGGTTTCTCTCGCGGCCTGTTTCTTTGGTGGAAAAAACTCAGTTCTGATTGGCTGTACCTTGTTTGCTAATTCAACACGCTGTTTAAGATGCCGCCCAAAGAAACATTGAAAGGGCATCCTTCAGTTGCACCTAAATCTTGTATTCTGTCATTTCCTCCTCCATTTGTACTGCCACCATCTGTCATGTTAAAGGGAGACTGCACAGTGTATGCAGCGCCGTGAACAGCCCACAGCTTCACTCGTGCAGCTCCGAGAAATCAAGTCTTGGACAGCAAGTGCCGTGGCCAAGTTCACTTTATACTGAAATTGTTTGCTGTGAGGCGCTTCAGCCAGGAGAGGACGAGATTTGCAAAGCAGAGGGAGCGTCTCTGCACACAGCTGGCGTGCTCTTCAGGTGTGGAAATGAAAAAGACTCCGTGTGCAGGTGGCTAGCCATGAGACAGCTTTGTCCACTGATTGGCATACCGTTCCGTCGTCACAGAAGAGGAAGACGGAGCAGGGTGAAACGGCAGGTGCAGAATGCGAGACTCGCTCTTCATACTGACAGGATACGCTCTGCTGACTTCAGCCGGCGTATATCTGAACTGCAAGGAGAGCCGGATGAAGGAAAAGCCCAGCTTAAGGTGACGCGAAACGAAGACCAGAACAAAATCTCGTCTGTATCATGTGGCAAGTCATACAACCTGCCTCTACAGTTCCCGTCTACCCTTCTCCTGCTTTGTCAGTAAACTACCCATTGAGGAGGCTGGGTCCATCATCTCCTACGTCGTTAATGAGCTCACGGGGAAAAGAATCAACGAGGTCCCTGTCCTGAAGAAATTCTGTACGTCTCAACAGTGACCTGCAGAATGAGGAGATTTCTGTTCAGCTACAGGCACTCGGTAAGGTTTGTCGTAATTTTTCTGTTCATATTTATATTTCTTGCTTTGAACTGTTCCCAGATTTGTTTAAGAGGCAAGTGGGTGTTTTACCGGCCTTGCATATTTGTATACATGGTTCTGTTATAATTTGTTAATTGATGTTTTTTAGAAGTTGGAAAGGAAATTGTGATACAATACGAGAGGTATCATATTGAAACCAGGCGGTCGTAAAAATAATGGAATCAAAGAAACCAGCATTTTTCTGCCCCTTGGGCTATTTTTATCAAATTTGTGTTTTTCTTAGCTTCATCGCCTTTTATGTCTATTTAAAAATACACTTCTGTGTTGATTTTACTAAAGAAAACCTTCGATTAAAGGCACGAAAAATGTTAGTGTAGATGTGTAGTGTCCAAGGACTCTACAAAGCTTTGAAAGTCACTAAACTTTGGCTGTCATTTTCTCTCTAATTTTGCATGTGAAACCAGGTGCCCCCAGCTCGATCAATCCCAAATATCTCGACTTCTATTCAAGATAGATTAGTACTTTTTTCATGGGAAGCAAGAAAAATGAATAGGTGTAAGATAGTACCCAATAAATCCATATGCCCAAAAATTGAGGAGCGCCTGATTCCACCTCGTGGTGACTCTATATTCTTTGCAGTAGTGACTAATCTCTTATTTTTGGTACTTCACTTTTCAGGCACTTGCGTGAAGGAGCTGTGCTCTGTAAAGAAACAGCCCAAAGCTGAGACACCGCACTGTGTACGAAACCTGTGCTGCTTAGAAGCTGGCTCATCTGTCTGGTTTTGCCTACCAACAGCCTCTTCAGGGAACTTTTGCAGTTCGGTACAGAGACGGTGTATGTTCTACAACTGCTGTGGGCAGTACCTTCTGACCATATAGATCTAAAGGTGCTGCCCGAAATCATCAAACAATTCGCTGGAGCTTTTATCGTCCCACTTGACAGGGAACTACAGCCCTACCTCCTGGGCTCTCTCTCTATCTCTGAGCCGACGCCCAGCTTTCTCGATGTAACTTCTGCAGCTCGTGAACAGATCATATATTCAGAACATATCTTAGGGCACCCCTATGCTCAATTCCATCGAGCCCCAAACACCACCACTGAGTTCCTTGGCGGTGAAGTCAAGTGACAAATCAACTACATCTCAGTAACATAGCACACTGGTTGGACAGCAAGCAACAATGAAGAATTATCACTTTCCCCATTTCTCAAGGAGCTGAAAATCCAAGCAGCTTCAAGCAAGCAAAAAGAGCAGGAGATCACCAGTGTCAGGCATCAGCACCAGGTGGAATTCGCTCAAGGAAGGGACTGCACAGGGTGGAAGAAGGTGGAGCAAAAGGTCTACAGTCTTCCTCACAACAGGAACTGTTACTGAGGAAGGCCTTGACTGTGACCTTTCCACAGATGTTGCACACCTTCTTCATTCAATAATAAATAACTTACAGTTACATACGAAGGATGTCTTCACAAGACAGCTGCTGAAGTTCGAGGCGGATATCTTCAAATGGACACAGCACATAGTCACATTATACCGACACAACAACCTCAAGAGACGTCAAAATCCCTGTGACTTAATGCTCCTGTTGACGTACGCTTGAAAGCATCCTCTCTTCGATAATGTATTTCTTCGAATTTCTTCTGTGTTGCCCCCCTAGAACGGATACATTTCACCTGTCCTGGATTGAATCCCCATATGAATTGGAATAAAAGCTTCGAGGGGTTAGTACTAAATGTACTCTGTGTTCTTTGTATTATTAGTAATACTACAGGTCATCAGGAGGTAAGTGTCTACTGACTGTGTGTTCTTGTCATGAGCAGTACCGGCAATTGATATCACTTGGCATTTGACTCATTTGTGTTGCAAGTGCCGTAAAACTTGTACTAAAACTAAAGTAAATCAACGTCAACCATGAATCATCATGACTTGTCACAGGGGCAGCCCTGACTATGTCAATCAAACCTCATGCCTGAGGCATACCCTGCTTCTGTATTTGCTCACATCATAAAAACAACCTTTGTGTATCATCGAGTATCAACAAAGTGTACACCATTGCTGAACAGGAGATGACATGCACATGTTTAGGCAATTATCTCTAAAAACATGGAAGGTACCATGGATGGTTTTATAGTTTTTCTGAGTGAAGGTGAACCAAATCAGCATGCAAATAAATCCATTTCTTTCCAGGTAAACTATTTACTAGTCTGTTGACCTGTTTATTGTTTCAAATAAAAGACAATGCAGTACATGCAGAAGGTAAGGAAAATTGGTGCTGTTATCATCAATATTGTTTTTCTACCAACCTTATCTTGTCTGTCATCATTTCTTCTCCTGCCATGTCTTTTTATCATCATTCTTTTTCTACTGGATGTCTTTTTATTTTTATTGTCACTTCTTTTTCTACTGGATGTCTTTTTATCCTCATTTCCTTTTCTACCTGTCTTTTTATCCTCATTTCTTTTTCTACTGGATGTCTTTTTATCCTCATTTCCTTTTCTACTGGATGTCTTTTTATCCTCATTTCTTTTTCTACTGGATGTCTTTTTATCCTCATTTCTTTTTCTGCCATGTTTACAGGAGCAAGGAGTGCTTGGCAGGAACCGGACTGAATCGGAACAAAACACCCAGGCTCTAATTTCCAAGCTGCAACGGGAGGCTGGATTAACACCTAAAGAAAAATGATGCCTAGTACACTGCGTTTAGCTCAACTTTCACTTCCTCGATGTTCCATATTACATCAACCATTTGTGAAACCGGCTCATTTTGCCACTTCTTCTTTTTCTTCTTCTCGATGACATTCAGGCTGTCAATCCAGTGGTGTGCACATATTGTGCAGTTCTCTTCAGATCTTTGGGGCTGTCGTACAATTTTCTCTCTAGTGATGTACTTACTTACTTACTTTGAGAATAGGCATCTTTGCAGGCGACACAATGCCATAGCTGCTCCTCCCTCCTCTCCAGGATCCGTGAAAGGGTCGAAAGGGTATACATCTAGTGATTTAGCATATATGTATGTATTGCCATTTTGCTGTGCTCCTAGGGTTATTTAAACGAGTACAGTAATGCAAGATATGGTGGCTGTTCTCTGGGCTTTGGCTATGTCATTGATGCATATATATATATTTGGGATGTGTCTCTGACTTTAAATAAGGAGTCATTTGCTGTTTCAGTCATTTCACCTTTTTTCGTTTAGTAAATAAAAAGTAACTTTTTTGTTATTTCCCTTTATTTCTTTTTCCTGGACCTTTGTTTCCAAATTTGTCATCCCTCCTCAGTGTCTTGTGAAGCAGAATCCTTTGTATATATATATAGATCTACATTGTGTACAGTTAATGATTGGTTGGTTTTGCAGTAGGGAGCAGTTGTTGACATTTGACAGTTATCATTTTGTAAGTTTTGCGGTGGTTGTGGGGATGGTTGGGGAGTGCTCTGGTGTGGTTCACTCCTTCTTTCGTTCAAATATATGTTCTCCTTATTAAAATCTCTTCTCTGTTATTTTTTTGCATGTTACTTTCTAGTAGCACCTCTAATCTTTAGCACTTATTTATACTACCTTATTGTTTTGCAAGTGCTGTAAAACTCTTATTAAAGCTAAAAAAGTAAACCAAGTAGAGAACATCCTTCAACTTACAAGTGCAGCTTCAGGGCAGTAAGTCGTCGTGATATGTTTTCCGTCCTTGAAGAAACTGTTCGTTATGGAAGAACTGAAATGTAAGACGTGTTCTATTTGTTTGCTTTAATACTATTCAGCTAAACTAGTTTGTTTCAGAAGAATTGTGTTTCTTTTCTGTTGTATTGCTCAAGGTTTGGCTCCCTTGTGCTTTTAATTTATTGTGAAACGCCTCGAGTAGAGCCCCAGGGAGTGGGCGCTGTAGAAGAAGTTATTTATAAAGTGATTTTGTTATTATTATCATGAAAGTATTTTTGAAAGTGTCTGTCGGGACCCCAAACAAGGTCTCCCTGGCCTCTTCCTATTATTATCATAATTATTGTTGTTATTAGCAAAAGCATGTCATTTTGAAGGTAGTCAGAGAATTGCTCTAAACTTATTTGAGTTAGAATCAAAATTTATTTGAGTTAGAATCTAAAACAATTGAATAAGAGTGGGCGGTTGGCTGGTGCTCTGGTGTGGTTTACTTCTTCTTTCCTATTGAACATCAATCGTCCTTATCTCCCCCTTCTTCTTTTATATGTTTGTTACTCTCTTGTAACACCTCTAATCTTCTGGCGCTCATATGACCTTATGCAGTTGCGAGCGCCGTAAAACCTCTGCTAAAAAAGAAAAAAAAAACAATAAGAGAAGAAGGACAAAGAGGTGTGAGAGGCAATATAATAATTAATATATATATATCTCACTTTTTTGCACATGAGCAGAGAAATCTTCACATGTTCTGATGCACCATAAGATTAGTGACCCTTTCTTATGAGCAATACGGTTCTTTGTAACCGCTTCTCTCCCCCCCCCCCCCACCACACACACCCACACACTCACAAGTTTCATCCAACTGAAAGGAAGGCAATAGATTCCATTTCTTGTTCCACTTGATCTTACAACTGCACGTTTCTAGTGAAGTTTTCCCTGTACAGTACATTGCCTTACTGACATTGTGCAGAGTACATGACAATTGAGCACAAGGGCTGTTTGTTGAAGTCTATTTAGTGAAAGAAGAAAAAAAGGGTGGGGGGATATAAAATAGTTGTTTTATTGACATTGATGCCTGTTTTCTATCTGATTGAATGATAGTGATAATATGACAATTGTATCGTAGAGATAAACTGAAAGGGTATTTTGTAACTTGTGATAACAATAATTACAATGTATGAATCGTGTGTCAGGGTTTTTGGTCAATTTACATGTAAGGTATGTAGTTTGTTTTGTGAGTGTTTTTGCATTGTTCACAATTCACAAGGTATTATGTGTTGATCTTGACATAACACACTGCAGGACTAATCTTCCAATGGCATTTTTGAGTAGCTAAAATGTTTACTATTGACCAACATGTGCTTTCAGCAGTGAAGAGATGTGTTGTCATCTCTTTGTTGCATAGATGAATAAATGCATGAATTATAAATAATAATGTTGTTTCTTGGAATCCGTTCTGTATTGCTTCCATTTGTGTGTGTGTGTGTGTGTGTATGTGTGTATGTGTGTGCGTGTGTGCGTGTGTGTGTGCGTGTGTGTGTGTGTGTGTGTGTATTTTCTGCTGGGATTTAAAGATGGGAAGTTGGATCCTGTGGGTTTTTTCTTTGTTTGTCTCTATTATTTTAGTTTGTTTTATGTTGTTTTTTATCCCTGAGGAAAAGGGGGGGGGGGGGGGGGCGAATTTTACGTTCTTTTCAACGCGGGAGAAATTCGATTAGCCTATTCAGTCTGTTTTGTGAGAGTTGCTAACAACAATACATGAAATATATCTCTCTATCTATTTAACTCCCCCCTCTCTTTCCTTCCATCCCACCCCATATCTCTGTCTCTCTCTCTCTCTCTCTCTCTCTCTCTCTCTCTCTCTCTCTCTCTCTGAGTCTCTCTCTCTCTCTTTCTCTCTCTCTCTATCTATCTATCTCCCTCCTCTCTCTCCCTCCATCCCTCTCTCTCTCCCCTCTCCCCCCCCCCTCTCTCTCTCTCTCTCTCTCTCTTTCTCTGGCTCTCTCACTCAACTCCAAGGTATGTGTACACAGTCAAAGAAAGCTAATCTCGTCCATGATATCAAGATGACCCCAAGTTTTGCCTGACCCCTGTCTTCTCAAACTAACGAGACAAGACTTCACTACACAGAGGCCAGTTTCGAAAACAATGGCCGCTTATCTGTTAAAGGACCACACGTAATCTCTCAACGGTTGATATGAAATTCTTGGGTGGTTGGCGGGAGCTCTGGTGTGGTTTGGTCCTTTTTTCCCCCATCGAACATCTACCATCTTATCTCCCCTCCTTTTCTTTGTATGTCACTCTTTAATATCACTTCTTATCTTCCTTATATCTTATGGCCTGTTTGTGTTGCAAGTGCAGGAAAACTGTTACTAAAACTGACATGAAGTTCGTCTGAGGACCAAATTTGACCCTGACTTTTTCCAAAAGGAGTCAACACGCCCCTTCCCAACTTGCTCTTCACATTTCTTATCTGAGTTACACACTGACCGTTCCTACGATGACAACACAATGTTATTATAGTTGTATGTAACGGACAACAGAGCTTCGGATCGACTGACTCTGACAGAGCCCTACCTTTTGTCCGATCACTTTCTAACTAAAGGTAGCGGTAATAAAGGTAGGCAAAATTAAATGTGAGGTGTGACAGGTTTTTGCTTGGTTTCTTGCTTGTTGTTGTATTGTTGTTGTTGTGATGTTGCTGTTGTTGCTGTTGTTGTTGTCTTGTTGTTATTTTAACTGATGGATGTGAATTAGATCTCTAATTCTATAGTAGCATAGCCTAAAGTGCTCTAGTGTTTCTTCAGAGATATTCTGTCAGCGTAATAAAATTTTGTCGCTACCGTATTTCAATATGCTTATGGTTGGCGTGAATTAAAGATTTGGCTTTCAGCCTTTATAACCCGCACCACCCATAAGTGGGGCTTATTGCATGTATTGAAGTACGGTCTATTTTAAATAATGTTCTTTTAAACATCACCCTGCTATGTGTATTTTACTGAAAGGTGTTGTTGAAAAACACAAAAAGAACATTTACAGTTTTAAAGGACACACGAACTTTGGAAGACACGACCTTTGGAAAACACCAAACTTTGGCGGTCATCTTCAGCTTATTTTACTTCTGACACCAGTCACCCCGCCTCCTTCAAATCGCAAAATTAAATACTACATGCATCTCGACTTCTATTCCCCAAAGGTGGAAAATTCATGTTGGTTTTTAAAAAAAATCAAACCAAGACATAATTATACTTTAAAATGGTATCAGTTTCTCCACACATCGCAACCTCATACTCATAGTTACAAAGTTTTACCTGCTCAGTAGGCCTACCTAGTTTTGAGAAATTTGACGTCAAAGATGTTGAGTTTTATATAACTATTACTAACATGTCAAGCTTTTTAAAATGTAAATCTTTGAATATATCCTAATAACGACTCCAAATAATCTTACGAGTTTGATAGAGGATATATATCTAGATCATTTGGTTTCTGACCCCATGGTTTTAGTAACTCGAAACAGCAAGAAATTAATGTCAGAGAGAACTTAGTAATTTTGAGATGACGATATGTCAAAAAACAAAACAAGAAACAACAACAAAAATGAACAACAACAACAACAACAACAACAACAAAACAACAACAAAAACAAACAAAAAAAAAACTGACGAGCGCCTGAGTCCACTATGCCGTGATATAAAAAATATATTATTTATCTATCATAGCCCCTTCCAATCCGCGAGGATGTCTATTGAGGCCAACTACCCAGGACAAGGTAAACCGGTGTGTGGTGTGTGTGTGTGTGTGTGTGTGTGTGTGTGTG